AGCTAGCTCTCAATGAATACAACACTGCAGATACAATAAAATCTGTAAGTCCCAGAAATGCCTCATATACGGTTTCACTGAATTAAAATTCGCAGCTGAAAGTGAAAACGCAGAAGGAAAAACAGTTAAATTTACTGAGATATAATGGGGTTCGCCGAAAAAAGTGTAAAGTTACCTGGTATTGTAGACTTTTTTGATGGTAACGATATCAGTGGCAGGTGGAGAAAGTGGATGCAGCGAGGAAGGCTGAGTGGTACTGGAAAAGCTTGCCAGTGGTGGCGGAGGTGGTGGTGGTGCTGGCGGTGCTGGAGGCTTGCCAACCAAGCCCATCGACTGTTGTGATGGAGTAGGGGTTGGTGTGGGATTCGATTTCATCGAATTCTCTTGCTCATTCCCTTGCTGAGCTCCTGACGATGGCGGCGACGGTGGCGATGTTGGACTTCGTTGCTTTGCTGTTGCTGCAGGATCTTTCTTGGCTTCAATTAAACCAGCTAAAAATAATCAAAATCAGTCATTCACTGACAATGATAACACGGGATGAATTCATCAAGCTGTTAAAAATAGCAAGTAGAAATAGGAAGGGCCGGGACGGGAGCCTCGGGCTAAACGACAGGCCACAAAACGAAGCCTCCAAACCAAAACGGCCTTGCCAGTATAATTTTGTGTAAATTACCAAATGTTTTTGATGGTCCCTGGACCCACGAATACAATTTTTCCAACATCTTTAAGACAACAGCATATAGCTAAATTAGTTTCCAGATCAAACAGAGCTCAATGAAATAAATTTTTCAAATTAATCAAACTGATTTTAGATCTCATATTTAACGCTAGCAACTCGTCTCTACCTTTCATGTTACGTTGCATTCTTTCAAGCTCCTGGATTCGGGACTCCAGTTTTGCCTGCTGCTCTCGGCTCTCTTTATCCTTCTCGTTCAGCGTTCGTCTCATCGTATTCAATGTGCTATCATGCTCTTTCAAAAGCTTCTCTTTTTCTGCATTTAGTTCTTTCAGACGACGATCAAGCTGTGCCAGTCGGGCTATGTAATCCGCTTCCACCACTTGCAATCTCTCCTTAATCTGCAATGAATCTCATAAGAATAAATAACAGATGAGCAATGCGTGTTTGTCCATGATAGAATTGAAGAGTTGGTAGGCAAGATGCAGTGGAAATAGCGATATTCTCATGCAGAATATTGAAGACGCGAACCTACCAATGGGAAAATCAATCCTTCCACGATTCCTTCATCCAATTCGGTAGGAAATTCGCACCAACATATGCCAGGGAGTCAAGACATCATCAGTCTGCTTTCAAGCAACTCTTGGAAGAAAAAACTGGTGAAAGATTAGTCGGCGGATGATTGCAGTTGGCAAGTGCTTTAGACTATTTTCAGACCCCACTACCTCACACTGAGAATGAAATACGGAGGGAAAGTTTGACTTTGACAGCTAAAGCAAGAAACCGTAGAAAAAAAAATGATCAGAAACAAGGCAATGAAGGACAGCAAGTTCACTGCTTAAGAAAACATCAACAGCCTCTGAATCATTCCATGCCTTTGAAAATATTCATACCGTTAATCTCCCGTATAACTCTTGAATTTTGTCGTGTAAAAGAATGAACGGGTTATTCTTAGCTGGACCAACGAGACAAAAGCGAGACGCACTTAGCAATTCATTGCATAAAAACGAAGAAAGCAGAAAAACGAGTGGCAAAAACAAGGGCACTGGTAAAAATGATAGATATAACCTTGGACAACTCTTCAGCGAGGCGCGTATTCTCAGCTTCCAGTTCGATTTTCTTATCGGTCTCATCCAACAAATAAGGCACGTCTATTTTATTGTCCAAATATGCACTGATATGCGTTTGCAATTCCTCGCACTCGGTTTTGCGCAAAACCTTTAAAGTATTGGACACAGTAAGACTGGAATTTCAGAACAAATTCGGCACTGGATGGAGAAGGAAGAGGAGGGCACAAATCTGTGTTGTTTCTACTCAACAAAATCAAAAGCAACTACTACGGGAAAAACATGTCTGTAGCATCAGATCTCAATAAAATGTAACGAAAATTTGTGATAATGATGCTCAGAAAACGATTGCATCGTTCCTGCAATGAAAATGGCCTGGGAGGTTACCATGCCTTGCTCTTCTCCCTCCACCGCCAACAACAAACGGATACATCATCGAAGCGGATGCCTAAAAATAACAACTCTGCAAAAAGCACACAAATTTACCTCTAAATAATCATCGAGGCCAAGCAAAGTAAGCTCGTACTGCAGATAATTACGATAATTCATATTTTCGGTGGTATGGACAACCACGTTAAAGAATTGCATGCACGAAGCCATAAACTCAACACTGAATTCGGGCGGCTTCGCAAAATACGAGAATAACAATTGAAAACGGTAGGTTTCCTTGTATTCCTGCAACATAACTTGCTTGCAACGGCGGAAAATTGATTTTTTTTAATGAAACACACCCAGCACTCTTCGTACTCAGACACACAATTTCGTTGCGAAATATCACTCAAAACCCGAAAATCAAATGAACCGATACGTATAAAACGGTCAACAGTATGGAAAACGATACGGTGGGGCGGCCACAACAGAATCGACCAGTTTGTACCGAATTTTCCTAGCAATTCCTTTTATGTATTAACTGCACCCCCCTTCCCCCCACCCGCCCACGGAAGAAGAAAAATCCCAACAGCACGCAAATAACAAAATAATAAAGTCTGCAAAGATAATTTATTTGCCCATAAGTTCAAATTTCTAAAAAAAAAAATGCTTACTGCACGAAAACGATTAAATGCGCTGATTATTAGGTCGTGTCCACCACTGACGAAGCATATTGCTGCGAGCAGTTCTAACGCCAGCGCCTTGGTCCTGGAAAATTTCTTTTTTCTTCCTCAAAAACCTTTTTTCTTTTAAGAAGGAAAAATTGAGGCTAATTAAAGCGATTCAAATGAAACAGTAAATTGTAAAAACACTGTACCTCAGCTGATATCACTTACCTCATAATGGACCTACTGGTTACAAAAACTTTCCTTCTCCTCCGCCCTAACTCATCTCCCTCCCATCACAACTCCAACACTTTTCGCTTAAGTTCCGCAAGACATCAAAGAGAAGTTACAAAAGCAATCACGAAAAAATTCAAAACTGATTTTGAGGATAGTCTGACATCAAAGAAGCCTCTGCCTTTCTTTCCTTCAGCTGAATGCCATTTAATAAAAATTTGCTGAGTAAACCAACCGTAAACTTTGGTGAAGAATGCTTCGAGCGATACAATAGATCGCTTGTGGATTACTGAACACCATGTTGAACCCGTACTGCAACACGTAAAAAAAATTCGTACCTTAACAAAAAAAAAACTGCATTTGAATATTTTATGAGTGTCGATCTCCAACTACCTGCTTTTCAGACTAACAAAAACGCAGACTTTATGTGAAAGAGCTGTGCTAATAAGTTTTTGCAGGGAACCAATGAATTTTAGGAAGAGAGCTCTCAGGAAGCCTGCTGTCTTGGACACCAAAATGAAGGAGCTCCCAGAAAGTAGGCAAATTATTACCTTATTATTCATGATGGCCCGTAAGCAGCTGACACAAACATGGATGTCCTCATCGCGAGCCCCGTGATTCCTCGAATTTTTCTTTGTAACGCTTGTTGTTCGTCGAAATAAACTGCTCGTTGTCCGTTCATCCAAAAGATATCCATTTTCGCTTGAGCTGGTAGCTGTCTGTGTCTGGGGGTATGACACGACACTGCTCGACGTTGCAGCACCGTCAAAGGCATCGCTTATTACACTGTAAATGTAAGAAGGTGCATTCAAGCAGCTCACGATGTATTCATTTTTTACGACAGTTACCCCTACATCGCCTTGATGCTCGCACTTGATACTAAGCACATATGAACTGCTTGTAAATGCTGTAAAATGAGAGTTGTGAACACTGCAAGAAAAGTTGATTAAAACGGAGAACGTACTTGGCCCAGCCATCTTCCTGAAGCTGCGTCAAATATTCCACCAGTATGTTCAGACCGTTATTCTCATCACTGAGGAACGATCGTACCCAGCTGAAAGCAGAGTTCAGTAATGAGGGGGAAAAACGAAACGAGAGCAAGCAATGTTAGGCTCTAAAATTTGAAACATTTGGCAGATATTAAAAAGTGTCATATCTGATGGGCAGCAAGCGAACAACTCACTCGATACTGTTTGTTCGAAGCGATATTTCAATGTGTTTCAGCACTTCAGTTGATGTCTCATCGCCCAGTAATTTTTTCTTCTGCAAATTAATCTTACGATTTTCTGAGCTTCCAGTAAGTAGTAAATGAAATCAAGAAAATTCCCAAAATCGCGCACTTTCTACGAGGCACCGGCTCTGAGGGCGATTTTATTGAAGGAGCAATTTGGGAATCCATTTTTAAATGACCGGCTAATTTTTTTACAAGGAAAAACCATTAAAAAAATGGTTATCTTCCGCTCTCGAAAAACAGGCGGTTGCTTTTTATCCCACACCATCCCCGGTTATTTTGTCAAGTCAGTGCTCAGTGATGAATAGTCCAAGACGAAATGTTATGCAGCAGCTTTCATACGGCCAATTGCTTAGGGTTCAACGTTGGATAAGAAAGAAGCCTTAACATCCTTGATGTTACATGGCAACGATGATCAGAACAAATTTAGCCTCAACAGCATATGTCGTTATTGTTGCTAATTAGTGCAGTTAATTAGCCCATTTATGAACTAACACTCACTGCGGTGCTGATGCGTATCCATGCGCATCAAAACAGGTGCACTGACGCATAAAAATTTTTTAAGGGAACACAGAATAGCAATTCCACGAGGAGCATATACCTTTTTTGAAGCTCGTCGATCGAGATAAGCTGCTAGCTTTTCGAGATACACTGATGGATCTGCGACGGCATACATTTTACGCTAAAATTAAACAAAATTATTCAAGCACAAACACCACAGCAAGAGAGGGCACTAAGCAGAGCAATAAAACTCACGATACTAAAAACCTGCAAATGAATGAACAAGCGTAAACGATATATATATATATATATATGTGTGTATGTGTATGTATATACTTTCATATACATGTATTTATGCATGTGTACATGTACATATGTGTGTATATATATATGTATGTATGTATGTATGTATGTATGTATGTATGTATGTATGTATGTATGTATGTATGTATGTATATATATGTATGTATGTATGTATGTATGTATGTATGTATGTATGTATGTATGTATGTATGTATGTTTGTTATGTATGTATGTATGTATGTATGTATGTATGTATGTATGTATGTGAATGACAGTACGATAACTATGACTGTGTGCAGCAGAATATGCGCTAAGAAAAAGGCACCAATTTTGATGCAACAGAGGTAAAAACACTACAAGCGGTGAACGAAGCGAAAACGAAAACGCCGATTTCATTTTCAACCCGTCCTATTAATTATGAGCGTTGAATTCCAAATCTCAATTTTCCGAGAGGCAAAGAAACATTTATTCAGTAGGCTAAAAACAGTTCACTTATTTACCTGATCACAGACAAGCTCCCACTTCTTATTCAGATCATAGCTTCGTAGGATTCGCATTTTGTCCGGTGGTAAATCCATTTTATTCTGCAACGACATTCGCAATATGACAGATCAAACCAAAAAATAATCCTCAGACTTTCCGAAGGTATTTAAGAAAACTGCAGAACAAAGCATTCTTCGTTTGCATGGACAAATAAGTCACGACTGGGCGAGATAACAAAATCCCGCTAAACACACAAATATCGGACCGCAATTCTGTTAACCAAACTGCGCCAAATCAAAGAAAGATTCCTCGCTCGATCCACCTCCCTCCCCTCTCCCGACCTTCCTCTCAACACCGCTATCTCAACGACGGAAAGCATGACTTGCGCCCCTAATTCCTATAACACGACAAAGATACAGACCAAGACCATTTCGAATGCGGACAAGAGCTCGTCTTCCGGTGGCAACCGCGACACCAACGCATCAGGTTTATCCTTCTGCTGCACGCCATCAATACGTACAGCCATTGAAGATTCCGCGACGACGCAGTTCGAGCGACGGTTGTAGCAAGGAGAGGATGAAAAACGCCGACGACCTTTCCCACTGCTTCGTAAGCCGCAACGAGCTGCAAAAACCCCAATTCTGAATCCAATTTGAAATGGCAAATGAAACAAATCACAAGCAATATACTTACAAGATCAAAAACGAACATTTTTATCAATTCAATGGCATAATGAACTCTTCCCACTTTACTACTCATTCTTCACTGCTCCTGTCCAGTACCGTCCCAAAAACCATTCTTTATTATAAATCAAAATGATTCAGTTGCTGAACAGAGCGCGCTTTTGGACGACCAGCAACCAGGCTCAACAGGCCTCGATAACTTACCAAAAAAACTAATACTCTTTCATAGATAGCGCAGTAATCAAATTTTGTCAAGATTCCAGGCTACCACATCTCTTTTTCCCTCTGCCTCTCATCCTCGCAATTTAGCATTCGGCCAAAGCTGTTTTTTTTTTGGCAACTGCTCTTTATCATTTTTTTTTTCCTATTTTTCCCATCATCTTTTGAGAGCTACTCAAGAAGTGCTTAAAGTGCTGCAGAAAGGGTGCAGGCCACACCAGCTAAAAAATGGGAGAGAGGAAACTGGCTACAGAATTTAGTAACAACGCTAGAGCTTGTCATAGTTGCGCTCAGCGCGGGGAAGCATTCGAGTAACATCACTAACATTAGTAGATACACGTCATTCTTCACTGCACCTACCTCCGTGCCCTTTTCCTTTTCTTACATAATTTTATAATTTTCCTTTTTTCCCCACATATTTCCCTTTTCCACTACCATTACTCTTCTTACTTCTAAATCGATGTTTTTATTTTAACTAATTTATATACCTTACTGAATTATTATGTTACTACAATCGTCATACTGACGAGGTCCAACTGTGGTAACGGCAAGAAATGTTTACGACTTAATGGACCGAAACATTTCTCACCTACAACAAAACTATAACAAAATTTTTTTATACACCCCTTACTTATCTTAATATCCTTTTCTTTTTTCATTATTACCTTCCTCTCCTATATTTTCTTTTAACCTTTAATAACCAGAGAGCCTTGGTGCCACAAGGTTTGATACATAACACGGCTAATTTTTACAGCACACTTGTTTCTTTTTTAGCAAAATATGCCTCATTTCTCGACAACAATATTACCCTCCTGCACAAATAAAAAAATGATTTGAATGGGCCACTGCGAGCACTGGAAAATGCTCTGGTACCAGTTGGTGTCATCACCATCTTTTTTTATTAGCAACCAGATCCAGTGAATCAAATTCAGGGCATCTACGCAAAACTAAACCCAAAAAAAAGAAAACTTTTAGCAGATTACATAAGTTTGACTACCTGGTTACGCGCAGGGATGGATGACCTGGCTATCACATAATGATTTATTACTTTTTTGTTCTAAATTTTGTAAAGAGCCATAGCATTGTTACAATGCAACATCCCTGATCCCTTGTTTAATCTTTAGGCATCCTACCCTTTTCAGAGTTACGCAGTCTCTCTGATCTGTGGTCACCCGGCATAAAAGCACTGCTCCCCATCTCCAGGATCCAGTGTTTTGTTCCTTCCTTTGATCGCCCTGTTCTGGCGAACTTCGGCTCTTCACAGCCTCGCCGCATTTTATTTATTATTTCCCCCTCCTATTTCAATTTATTTTGTACAATTGTATTTTGTTGTATATAATTACAAATAAACATACATGTATATAACTAAGTGTTGGTTACGCACTTATACATACACACGTAAGGCATGTATACTACTCTGACCAGCAGCTCTTAAGGTCGCGATATGGTAATCCGACTTTGCAAGAGGTTTGCGGACGGCAGCTATTTCATTTAAACAACTTCACTTAAACAAGTAAGCATTGAGAAACTTGTAAAATCGACGTTATTTAGAAATACACAATGAGAAGACCCAGTCTGGCCATATGACGAAGATGAGAAGCAAAAGATGGATGAAGCGACTGGCAGCATATTGCTAATTGCTGGGGCTACGGTCACAGAAGTAAAAGATCAAAAGAGCATTCAACTTTTAGCGGAAAGGAAGCAGCCATGGGAGAGCAGCTCAAAGTTTAAAAATGCTATTAATTCGAGATTACTTGTCTAAAGAGCAACCATAAAGTAAAGTAAACACAAATGCGTAAAGTAAATAAATGCATGGAGGATATATTGGCCTGAAAAGAAGGAAAAGGGGGAATGTCCAAATTTCTTCACGAATGGCAAAAAAGTTCGATGAAATAGGGGCAAAATCCAGAGGTGCATCATCAACTCCCGACGCGAGCAGGAGAGGGAATTGCTGGAAGAAGGTGAAATGAAATTTACCAAAGTGATAGGAGAAACTGGAGGAGGAGTGGGGAGCATGGGAGTATCGGGAGCCGTAAATTTGCCTTGCTCCAGAATGCGATAATGACGCATCGGATGGGGCTATAAAAGCAACTGTTGTTGCGCAACAAATGTGTATGTGTGTATGTATTGTTATGAATACACACAATGTGTGTATCTGAAGTACAAAGAGGTAAAGGTCATGGCAATTATGCGCGCAATTATACGGGGGTATTGCAAGCTGCCGCCAGAACACATACTCTGCAACATGCCGCGAACTGAATGCAAAGCAAACTGCGTCGAATTCAAAGGAAACAGCTTGAGTGAAGAAAAGGGGAAAAACCAACACACCCATCAAACTGGACAATGCAGGTCTTCATAGGGAGCACACAGGAAATGCAATGTGCCAGGCACTTCTCTCTAAAAAAGACGAAGAAGTTCAGCTCGCAATTCTCAAGCTCGCCATTCTGACGTGTCCGTACACACAGTACGTGTGCATTCAAGCTGAATTTGAAATCTTTAGCTCATACAAGGCCGGAGGATATGCTACAGTTTCCTGTCCAGTTTGGTTCTCGAAATCCTTTTTCCGCAAAAAAAGTTGCATAAATTTTTTGGCTGTCTGTACATGAAGTCCAGGAGTACGAGAACGATGATTTTGAAAATGGGACATCGCACATGGGATGTCCCTCCTTGAAACTCAACCCCTCCCCCCTTCTTGCTCCTTCTGTGATAAAAAAATGATATTGTCAAAAATTATTTCAGCTCGGCACTACTATCTAGTGTTGTCTGACGACAGCACCGTGCTGCTGCTGGTTGACTCACCATCGCCGCCATCCTTCCCGAGTTCAGTTATCACTATTTTTTTTAAAAAATAAATTTTTCTTTTGATGTAAGTTGCCGCATCTACAGCAAATACGTTCAGCTGGCTTGATGTTACAGGCTGGAGAAGTGGCGAAGACCACGCACAGAATGAACGACTACTACGCCAAACTTTGGCCTCAATTCTACAGCACTCGATTTCATTTTTTCTGCGATCTAACTTGTTTTTCACCAGAAAAGCTGCACGAGAACAACACGGGGTGTTGAAACTGTTTTCGGTGAATAAGAATTTCATGTGAGAGGTATAAAAGTGCGCTTGCACTACGCGGAAGCAGTACAAACAGTGCATCATTATCCACTGGTGCTTGTGCTGCACATAAATTTCATCTCTCTCTCACTTTAGCAAAGTTGTTGTAGCTCCCTATGTTGCCTACAACTCTGTCATTTACGTTAGGCTTTTTGAAGGCCTAAAATACTAACTCCAAAGCTCGTAATCCCCCCGAAACAGGAATGGAAGTGGGTCAGCAATTAAAATATTACGAAAATTTTTCTTCTAATCTCATCGCTCGTGCAAGAAAACATGGGCACCTGTATTCTTAAATGTAGAAACTCGTATTTCGGCTTCACCGATCGAAAATTCGTGAAAAAGTCAGTCGCAAACGCCTACTGTAGCCCACTTTCAAGTGGAAAATCACTTCTCGCAGTAACAGCTACTTTGTACATTGTGGCAATTTATTTTAATGTTAGTTTATTCAAGTCCAACAGAGAGCGTTCATTGTTATGTGGGGATGGCAAAGGACTATAGTGTTAGGGCAAGCCCTTCTGCCTCCGGGTATGATGTTCATCCAATTTTTTTTAAACAAAACTTTAATGTTATACAATTTTTTTTTTTTTAAATCCATCATAATTTCTCTGTTGTGGTATATTTCGAGCGGCTAAGCTTGGGTGGTACAGACTAATGTTCACTCGACCAGTAAGTGCGAATAAAAAACAACTCGTACAACTTTACGCAAGACGCAAAATCCAGGCCACACGATGCGATGTCGGAAGTAACACGAACGAAACAGGGCCCCTACACCCTAAATGTCTGATATTCTTGGTAAAATGTCAACGAAAAATATTAAAAACTTATGCTACAGCGAAGTCAGGTTGAACAGCTGTTAATAATAATAATAATAATAATAATAATAATAATAATAATAATAATAATAATAATAATAATAA